TACACTTAATTGTTTTTAAAAATGTCCTTATTAATAATTTAATTTTAAACAACAATCACTAATTATTGTATAATTAAACAGTTATATTAATTAAATCCACTATTTATTATTTGGTACCCACTACCACTATTAGATGTTTGCTATTTGCTACCTGTTATCTGCTAAATTTTAACCATTATACCAAACAGTTCCTATAACTAAAATAAATCATTAAAAAAAAGTTTCATGTTAGTCGTTTAAAACTTTTTTTATTATTAAAAAAAAATTCATTCCTAATTAGTTTATCTATTTCAAATTTTCACCACTTTAGATCAATAAAAAGTTATTTCAATAAACCATTTCAATAAAGTTTTTCAAACTCTAGATGCTCATCTCATAACCCACGCCAACTAAAAAGTCCAAAAAATAAATTAAAATCATGTATCAAAATGAAAATCAAAAGAAAATTTTACATAAACAAAAGTTAAAGTCCAGCTTGAACCATGGAAGTGGATCATTCTACCACTAGAGATATACAACTATTTGGTAATGAATAATGATAAATGAAATTGAAATTTGGGACTAAAATCTAAGACCAACAACTTAACATAAGCCACATAATTTAAAATATTAAAAGGTGGATCTTATATTATTTAATGATTGGTTCTTTTTTTTCTTTTTTTTTGGGACTTATGATAATATATGCATAATAAACTAATTTAATGATATGATTTATGCTACATCATTAATCTTAAATTTTCATCTCAAAATTTCCTCCTCCCTATCGTTGCTCTTTGGTAATATACCCTTCAAAGAAGAAAGCTTAACTTGGTAAAATCGTGATTTTATGTGAGTTTATGATTTTATTATAAATATACTATGATTTTATGAGATTTTGATTTTTAATACAATTGAAGTTGAATTTGATACCTAAGTTCAAACTTGTTATCTAAATCAACAATACTGATACTTTAGAAACTCAATATTAGTATTTTTACTATAGAAAATTTAGATTTGTTATCCCAACTTAGTGATATGGATACTTTAAAAATTTAGTGTTTATACTTTGTTTAAATTCACTAAAATGACCTGAGTCAAAACCCGCTTTTAAGCTAATAACTTTTTGGGTTAAGGTCTACAGGCTCTTAAACATTTAACCTCAAATTATTAGTAATAGTTGGTTTCCACACTCATATGCTAGACTCACTCACAAGTCTCCGTCGATGTGGATTCGATATGTTACAATCTCCCTAACTTAAATTCTCTATGTCCTCATCAAATGCAAACACAAGTAAAACTAGACTCACTAAACTACAAGTACAAAATCTACCTCAAGTGATGTGGAGTCTACACTACCATTGGCCGTGATGGTTAACATGAGCCCACACTTTGAGAGGCAACTGTTCTGATACCAACTTAAGCAACTCAGGCCTATGCCCTCCACTAATCTAACAACTCTTCAAGCTAAGGTCTATGAATCCTCAAAAGCTCAATTTTAAGTTGTTAGAAGTAGTTGATTTTTAAACTTATGTATTAAACTCACTTAGAAATCCCCACCGATGTGAGATTCAAGGCATTATATTTTCAATTTTCAAGATCCCAAATTTAAAACAGTGCTCAAAAGTGATTCAACATGTTGACAATGGAGCGAAACGTGGCGATGAATGGATTTGTGTAGGATAGTAGGAATGAGGGACTATTTGTTGAGTTGATGGCAGGGTTAGAGAGCTTCCTAGCGTTGGAAGTGGTGTATGGGCATTGCTTGATTGATATTGATGTAAGATTAGTTTTTAGCTACCTCTTTGTTGGCTACAACGGGGGTGGAGTGGCAAGAAGAGTGGTTGTAATGATGGTTGGCAGTTGTCATCACTCTACCAAGGTGGGCAAGCAAGTCTTAAGCTTGTGTTGGAAGGTTTTGGAATGTTCTATCTTCATTTAAAATCAAGGGATGTGGCCAGTGACGGAGTTAGGATTTTACTATAGGCCAACTATTATTCTACAAGAGAAGAAAATTAGATAATTAAACTTCATATTTGACTTGTAAATGTAGTAAAGAATTGATTCTATTAAGGTTTATGCATATGAAAACTAAAATGAAATCATATACCTTAAATAAAGAAAAAGTTTCTTAAAATTTATGTCGTTACTAAGTATCTAAAGTTCAGTTTCAAAAAATCATAATTACAAAATATCAATATATATCAACCAATAAATCTAAGACGTGTTTAAAATTAAAACTAAGATGTTCTTAAAAATTAGCATACCAAATTATAGTTATTTTTATGGTATAACCTTTAGTTTGAGGACAAAACAATTCATATGGCACCAATTTCTAATAACCAATTAGCATTATAATATCCATATTAAGAAATTAAAGATATTTGAGGAAAAAAAAGTTATTTACTTATAAGTAGGTAGTGATTTTTTCTGTTGAAAAACAAAATTCATCATTCACTTATAATTTACTACACATATATATTCAAAATAATTTCCAAAGGAATAAGAAATTTTAGTTTTTTCCATTAAATATAATTCAAGAAAAATTGAAAAATGAAACATAAAATACAAAGAAATTTCAAAAGATTTTGTAGAGACACAATACTAATCATTAGGGAAACATTTAAATGGAATTTTAAAAAATTAATAAATATATTTCAATAATTTCTCAGATAATTTTTTTTTTTTTAAGTTTAAGGTGCTATTTATACTTTTATAAAATATAGACTTCTATTTGACAAAATTTTAAGAGACTAGGGGGCTATCTCAAGTGGCTTTGCTACTAGATATGGCAAATTGCTACTAGATATGACGAATTTGATGGAGTTTGCTTACCTATTATTGAGAGATATTGTAGTTTTGAAGTGAGGAGAGAAATAATAGAAAAATAATTAATTATGAAGATTTGTTTCCTTTTGGGGCAAATCTTCTAATATAGCTTAATCATTGGTTATTTATTTGTACATATAATAGTTTGACTTTTAGGATTAACTCAAATAGCTTATTTGGTCTATTAAAATTATGTAATAAAGCTCATTATAAGACAGGGTGGGATTTAGAGGTAGTTATATCATGCTTTACTATACTCTACTATGTTCCTAATTATCAATATTATTTACTTTCTTATAAACAAAAATGGAAACACATTCAAGTCTAAATTCCAAATCTAAGAGCTCTGTTAAGACGTGCAACATCTTGCATAGTGTCGATTGTAAAGCCACTATGGCACCATATCACCATTTTTTGACCTAATGCCTTGTTCACCCACTAAACAAAACATTCTCACCACCAACATTGTCCCACTTTCTTCATGTTGGATCAACCACACAAACGATTTCCTTATAAAAAAGCTTCAATTTTGGCCAAAGGTCAACACTTGAATTCGCATTAGTTACTCCAAATCAAAATCCTACTAAAAATCATAGACATGTTTGCATAGGAAAAAACAAAGAAAACACATTGAAAGCCTAAATGTATAACACAACAAACTATATGCCCTTTCTTGCTATAAACTAGAATCGAGAAAAACATAGATTATATTGAGAAGTGACTTCTCACCGCTCACTAACACTAGAGTAGTCATTGATAAGAGTTAAGAGAGAGAAATTTATTTTTTTTCTAATTTTAAATAACCTAAATTAATTCAAAATGCCTTGATTTTATGGATTTTTTTTTTTTTCAAATTAATGATGTTGGGTAGTTGTCGTCACTCTCTTGACATGGGTGGATCTGAAGCATGTGTTGAAAGTTTTAGATTGTGCTATCTTCACCTAAAATCAATGGATATGGTAGATTTAAAGGAGTTTACTTATTGTTGAGATGTGAAATATAATTAATTATAGAGATTTGTTTCCTTTAGAGGTCGAATCTTTTAATATAACTTTATTGTAGGGTTTTTTTGGGCAAATATTAGTTTGAGGTTTGAGATTAACTCGAATTATTTATTTGGTTTATTAAAACTAATATAGTAATAACTCACATAATGCTTTGCTATACCCTACTATATGTTTTTAATTTTAATGATTTTGCTTTCTTGTTAAAAAAAAAAAAAGAAATATATTTAAGCCTAACTTCCAAATCTTCGAGCTTTGTTAAGGCGCCACACTTCACATACTGTCGACTATAAAGCCTCCATGGCACCATATCACCATTCTTCAACCCATACCTTTAATGAAACAAGGTGAATGACA